CGGCCTGGGCTGCTCGGCGCTCCGCCGACGCCTTCCTGCCGCCCTGGCGCCGCAGCGGGAACAACGGGCCCGGCCGGCCCGGCCGCCTGCGGGCTTGCGGCCATGACGGAGGTGTCCGGGTGACGGGGCCGCACCGTAACCGGAGCCTCCGCGAAGCGCCCGTACAAAGAAACACTAGCTGGGGTGCGGGGATTAAAATGGCCGTAAGGGAGCTGCGGGCCGAGGAGATAAGCGGTGGCCTGAGGGCGGCGGAGGTGCCGCAGCTCCTCACTGCTTTGTTTCCCAGTCCTGCTAATCCACGCTGTGCTCTCTGCATCTCTAACCAGGGACTAATGGTAATTTTTGCTCCCCCTTAGCGCTTAGTTGAAAGCAGAGACTGGTGTGCATTATTAAGTTTCATTTTACACTTTTTTTTTTGGTCACCGTCACTGCATTTAAGCAACAAGGGAAGATTGATTCTGCGTTGTTTGTACATCACAAGGCACGTGACCATGGCTTAGAAGAGGACTGGTTTCTGGGAACCCAGTTTCTGTGATAAGTACAGTTTGCCCAATATGGTGGTGCCTCCCCTATGTTCACGATGGTGTTTACTGCAGTCAAACAGCGTTCAGACAGCAGTTCTTGCTGCAATGATTCTCTTGGGAATTTGAAATCTTCCCTTGCTCACATGGGGATGATCTCCTGGGTGCCTGCTCCTCCAGTATAATTATTCAGTGTTACAAAAAAAAAAAGTCATATGAGTTTGCTGTATGTATGTAACTACTATTAAAATTACTATTGAAAGGTAGGCAAAGTTCTTGACTACCTTGAAAGCTGATGCAACCAACAGGCTGTTGCCTACTGCCACTTCCAGGGGATGAGGGTGGCTGAGAAGAGCAGAACAACAGCTGTACACAGAGGCAAAGTGAAACATAACTAGTTATAGGAAGAAGACTTATAATTAGCCAACGTATACGTGGTGTTTGGAGGATGAAAATAATTATCAGTTCAAGTAGAGCTGTTGTTAACAGTCACAGCTCGTTTCCCAACAGGCCGTCTCTGATAAGTGTTTTGCAAGGAGGGTAGTTCCGTGGAGGGCAGCTGCTTGCGAGTGTGAACTGTGATAGGGGCAAAAATCTCACTCTGGAAACATATGCTTCAGGGTTTTATTAGGCTGCTTGAAGCAAGGAAACAGCTAGATGTGTTACACACACACATTTTTGGTCTTGTTTCCATGATTTATTGTAGGAATAGATTCTAGATGCTAGGCAAGCATCAGCAATTTACCTGTTTTCTTTGTCCTAAGGCGCCTGCCTGACACCTGCCCCTCATTTTCCAACAGGCGAAGCTGAACTGTGGTTTCTATCAGCATGTCCATCAGAAGCTCAAGCTGCAGCTTCAGGTAATTGTTTTCTTCCAAAAGGGCTTTGTTCTTTTTCTGAATCTCACTGGTCTTTTCCCGCCAAGGAGAAGGGGGTGACTGCAGCCCCGATCGCTCCGCAGAGGAGCTGTTCTCATCTTCCCACTTCCCTTCCCGGAAGACAAGTTTAGCCTCATTCAGGTGAGCTCGAGGAGGGCCATAATCTAAACCAACTTCGGTCTGCCGGGTTTTAAAGTCCACCTGGTAGAAAATGGGCAAAGAGGTGATTCTGCGGAGGGGAGGCCTCTTGGGTTGGAATTTGTGGGAGAATCGGTCTGTCCAGCAGTCGCGCAGCCACTGGGCTGTCTTCCCAATGCCGTTCATGGTGAGCGGGGCTGGGAGCAGAACAGCACGGACACTGATCCAGCCTGCAGAGAGATGCACAAAGCTCAGCAGACATGTAAAGGCTAAGCTAGGCCAAAGGAGAGCAAGCAAAGATTTTTCTTGAAGCCTGTTACCCGCTCATGACACTTTTTTCACTCTTTCTGGTACTATTTATAAAATGCTGCTTGTGAGATTTCTAAGTTTATTTACTAAGGAATAAAATGACAGGGAAAGGGTACAGGCTGGATTTGCGGTTGTATAGGCTTCTAAACATCTGGAAAGTAGTACATATTGCATGTCTGTAGGTGATACAGATGCTGAACTCTGTAGCTTTGGGAGGTAATGGTGCAATGCAAAATAAATGATCAATAATTCTACTATATGTAAGAATCTGCCATTTCAGGGAGAAAATAGTGATCACTGTTTGAATGTCTGCTTCTGAAAGGATGACAGAACTCATTAGCTGCTGTCTGAGCCCCACTGCTGAGTATTCCTTCCCTCTCTGTCTTTCCTAGCTAAGTGTTATCTGTTGGTTCTTCTGCTTCCATCATAAGCCTCATTCCTCATCTCTCAGCTGTCTGCTGTCTTATCCCTGAACATGTTGCTTGTTCCTTGCATTTGCATATAAACATGTATAATTCAGGATCTAACAGTTAATCTGCAAACCTGATTAACTCTCAACAAATACCTCTAGCAGCTCACTCTCATCATCTGCGCACTGTAAGGGGGAATGTGTGGAAGTCTCATTCAACTAACACTTTGTAGGTTTCTCTAGTTAAAAGCCCTACAATTCAATTCGGACCTTTCCATCACTATCCATGGCTTTAGATGTGAGAACCAGCCCCTAGATGTAGTACTGGGACTAATACAAGCTAAACAATGCTATTAAATATGTATCATATGTGTTCTACCATATTACATGGTCAGACTAATGATCTTTCTACCAATTCTCAACTTTGCTAGTTGAGCCTCTGCCTCACTTTCATTTTAGGCAAATTAGGAAGCTTTCCAGTTACACTGCACCTTTACTTTCTTCCACTACACCTTTTTTGTCCTTATGCTATAAGTGCTGCTCTGTAACTGAGGCTGGGCAGGAGCTCCAGTTTCTTGGCTTTTCTAATTCATGGTTTACTACAGAGTCAGTCTGGGAAACAATCTGTGAGGTTGATACACACACTCTTCAGTGAAAAGCAGACACCTAAGTCCCCCCTCTTCTCTGAGGCTGTTGCTCTACTCTTTGAACATGTCACCCCTTTATACTACCAACTTATGCATAGGTTAGGCTCAGCATCCTTAGTCACTAAGAGCATAGAAGAATTGACTCTGTTCAGCTCTCTCTAAGCTCTTGTCCTTTCAGGCCTCAGTTTGGAATTCACCCGCCTGATGTTTTCCTGTTCATTAGTGTTAACATTTGAGTCTTGTACCGTGGTAATGATGCCAGTTGCCAAAATACCTTTTGCTTTTTATTGGTAACAGCTACCTTTCTGTGCATGCAGTTACAGAGCAGAAAAGGTGTCCTCTTCCAGCGCAGCTTGGCTATGTGCACCTTGAGCTGAGCTCTGCTGGCCTCAGAGCTAGGTGGGCATGAGTCAGCCCTGATCCAAAGGCCGTGCAGCCGTGCAGGGCTGTGCTGAGATAATAAACCTGACCTCTGAGAAGGTTTCTTCGCTCAAGCAGATCATTCACAGAACATTGGTGGTTCAGTGTTGCACCCACGAGGAGGGAGGCGGGCAATAGTCCTTTTGCATTAGTTGGAACAAGCTTTTTTTTTTTTTTTTTTTGCTTTAGGCTTTCAAGCTATTTAAAGCTGAAAATACATTACGGTGCCCAGTCCTGGGCAGGTGTCAGGACAGCCCCAGCACAGTGCAAATTCACCTTATAGACAATGCCTGAGTTCTTGTTCCTTGGGACCTCTGTGCCAAGGACCCACAAGGCTCTGGAATCACAACAGCTTCCAAGGTGCTCAGGGGAAGCTGCCAGTTGCTTTGACAGGGGAGTCATCAGAAACCCACTGCAGTTGATGAACTCCAGCAAGGCCCTGGCTCTAACTGCCTCTGTCTGTGAAATGGAGCCCGTTTCAGCCACTCACCGATTGCAGACCCAGGAGCAGTGGCCACGGAGACTCATTGGTTTTGTGCCTGCTGGCATCGTGGTCCCATCTCCCCAGAGGCCTTTCCCGATGTCATATTCAGCTTAGTGTCATAGTTATGATAGTGACTCACAATCACTGTTCAGCCTGCGGCGCTGCCTGGGCAGGGGTGCCAGAGTAACCCATTTTATATATCCCACTCCCCAAAGGTAACGTTGCCAAAGCTGTTTGGAGTCACCACCTTTCTCTTCCCAAGTAATGCAGTGACCATGCAACACATGCTGCTGACACGATTCTTCTTTTACTCCTGTTCCAGGGGTGCTCTGTGGGACCCCACGGTCTTCCTCAGTGCTAACACTATTTTGACTCCCCATGTAGCATTTAGCACTTAAACACGGATAATTGCAGAACCACCAGCAGGACAGTGCAGTAGAGGCCGGAGCAGGGCACGCTCTTTCCTAAACTACCACAAGAGATGTCCAAGCTCTGCTCCGTAGGGAAGACCTTCACACGAGGACACGTGTGAGGCTACATCCTCCTTGTGCACTGTGACTGCATGAATTCTCGGTGCTCTCTAATAAATAGTGATTACCGGTGAAAAACTGATGAAGAGAAAGCAAATGGTAGCCTTAGTGTGGGGACTTCCATAGCCTCCCTGTCTTGACCTCCCAACATTCACAGTGACAAACTGCTTTAGTTCTGCTTGCATTTTTCTTTGTTATCTAATCTAAGAATGCTTGTTACTGCATAGAACTGTGGCCTGTGGTAAAGGGAATATTTGCCTGCAGGGAAGGGGCCTGCTCTTACCAGCCTGTGGGAAGCAGCCTGTGCCTCCATCTGCAGCCGTGCGACAGTGCAAAGTTCAGCCCAAACACGATGCTGTCACCCCCTGGTACGTCACAGGTCAGTTGCAGTCACGCTCTTCACTCCCGGCCACCTCTGCCAGTGCTTTGCTAACCTGTCTGGGTCTCCCCAGCGTTTGCCCCCACGTTCCCTCTTCATCCCAGCTGAGCTTCCTCCAGTCTTGCTCTGGGACGCGCACGGAGCAGATCCCTGTGGCTGTGTTTAGTCAGATCAATGGAGTTCTGGCTCTTGCTGCCCAGAACGTTCCTCACAATTTTGGCACTGATCAATACATAATTCAAAATGATCACACAGGCAAGCACAAAAATGCTGTCAGGGTGAGAGCAAGCCCTCTGCAGACTCAGCAGATAAAATGGGTCACAACAGTGGTTATGTCTGTTACACAACTCCAGTGTGACTGCTTACTTTTTTCCTTGCTCTTGAAGTCGCTGGAATGTAAACAAGTAAAAACCAGGCTGATAACAAATTGGGGATGCAGAAAAGAGTAGGGAAATCTCCTACAATGCTTGCTCCAGAAAATGAACTTCCTCATAGTTTTGGTAGGCTGGCTCCTGCAGGCTTTGATCCTGGAGCCTTGGTGAATAAAGACCCATTGAGGAGTCTGGCTACACATTAGCATTTGAATTCCCTTGTAGCTTGTTGTCAGATGGGCAGGAGGTGGGTGCTAGTCTCGGTTTCTCAGCACTGATACACAAAGGTGGCTTTAAAAAGTTAAAAAGTCCTTGTTTTCCTGGGGGAAAGAAGTGTACTGTTCAGGCTTCAGATGCTTCTATATATGTATGTGTGTTTGCTTACATATATATGTGTGTGTATATATATAGACACACATACACACATCCCCTTTGCCCTTTCCATTTCTCCTCTGCTTCACTCCCTTCCCTGGAGCAGACCCAGCCGTAGATGGACCCGTCTGGATATTGTCAGCCGGGTCTGACCTAGTTCCCTGCCTCCCTTCGGCCGGGCCATGTTGTGGATGCTGGTGCTATGGCAACTGGGGTGACGTCCAGCATCACAAAGCGAGGTCCTTCTAACTGAGCCCTCCTCTCCCAAACATCCGCACAGGAAAGTTCCACTTGGGCTTCCAGGGGAAAGTCGGGGCTGTGCTGGGTCTGTGTGAGCTGTAGCTGGCTGCACACCAGAGCGGTGCGTGCGTATCCTGCACAGGCTGCCACGTGACGTGGAGGAAAGTACCGTGTGTGTCCTTGAAGTTTTCAAGATAAAAATAAGCTGCTGGCGTCTGAAAAGCGGCTCTGAAGCTCTACAGGAAGCTTGGCTCGGTTCCTGCCAGCACACGCGTGTCCAAACGCCCGTGCGCGCCGAGATCCGGCGGCCGGGCGCAGTTAGTTGGTGGGACAGAGCTCTGCGCTTTCCTCATCCCCTCCTTGTTCACGTGGAACAAGATGGATGCGGGGGAGGAGGCTTGTTTACAAGTTCAGCCGCTGCACTTCTTACGACAGAAAAGTTCTCGCAGGTTCTTTGCTCTTTGCTGGCCTCCAGCCCGGCCGGCTGCTTCGCTTCGGGGGCTGTGGCCATGGCGGAGCGGATTTGCTTCCAAATATCTCCAGCCAAACCTTTGTGCTGGTGGCTGGACGGGGGAGGAAGCAGGAAGGAGTCCAGGAGTCTGTAAAGCGCTCGCAGGGGCTCTTGCGTCATTGCTAAGCTGGCTCGGGAGGATTTGAGCGAGGATCCCGGCTTTTCCCACCCCAGTAACCTCAGCACGGGCGAAACCTCAAGCGAGAGGGTTGGTGCCGCTGGACCCGCGGGTGGTGCCA